TCTTGAACCAATTCAGTGGTTGGCCTCTAATCCCATAATGGTGCAATTTATACAGTAATATAGTAAAATCGATGGTATCAAAGGCTTTTGAAAGGTCTAAAAATATACCGATACCATATTCCCCCTTTTCAGTGGCATCATTGATCTTTTCAATAAGATCCAGGATCGCCATACAGGTAGTATGTTTTTTTCCTAAAGCCATACTGGGATGGATTGAGTATGTTCAATGTATTAAAATAATTAATAAGTCTATTATACACCACTCTTTCCAATATTTTGGAAAGAGTTGGTAAGATGGATATGGGACGATAATTTGATATATCATTTTTGTCACCAGTTTTGTAAATCGGAATTATTTTTGCAATTTTTGTCATTTTGGGAACAGTTCCTGTAAGCAATGAGAGATTAATACAATGTAAAAGTGGTTCAATTATTTCATTAGCAATACTTTTTAATATTTTACTACTAATTTCATCTTCTCCAGCAGAATTTGAGCTCTTCAGAGCCATTATGATATTATACAATTCCGTGGCGTCAGTAGGCTTTAGGAAAAAAGAGTTTGGATAATGGCCTAACGTATAATGTATTGTTGGTAAGAGACACTGTGTGGTTGAGTAATGTTTTTCGAAAGATTTGCCCCTATTGATACAAAATAATTATTAAATTCATTTGCAAGATCAGTATTATTTATTGTGTCTGGGAGCACGGTATCTTTATGGCCCTTATTCAAAACATTATTCAGCACTTTCCATAATTTCTTAGAGTCTCCCTGCACGGTTTGTATAAGTTCAGAATAGTGACTATATTTACTTTTCCTAATTATATATGTCAATTTATTCCTATAAGCATTGTATTTAATTTTATTCTCTATATTTGGTTTTTTGACATATGTTTGGTAAAGTTTATTTTTTTGTTTAATGGAGTTCAAAATTGCCCTTGTTAACCAGGGTTTATGTTCTGCCCTTCTGCGTGTAACATTTTCAATAGGAATAGTGCAACGAATGGAGTCAGTTATTTCATTTACCAAATAAGCATATGCGGTATCAGGATCGCAGGAACAATAAACAGTGTTCCATGCTTTAGCCTGCAGACTTGCCTTAAGTTGATGCATAGTTCGATTATTTACTACTCTAATTTTTACCGAATGACATGGAGGTAAACATTTATAATCAAAATTAAAGTACATCATTATTGGGTAATGATCAGATACATCAGAAAGTAAAGCTCCTGATTCAAGCTTGACATTTCGTATATTTGTGACAATATTGTCAATGACAGTTGTTGAGGTATTTGTGACTCTAGTAAATATATTTATAGTTGGAAAGAAAGAGGAGGAGTGTAGTGTATTAATGAAATCGTTTTTGACTGCATCGTTCTTGGCGACATCAATATTGAAGTCTCCAAGGAGGACGCAGTCTTTATTTAATTGATTTATATGTAATAATGTTTCTTCGAGTTTATTATTAAAAATATTTAAATCAGAATCTGGGGGGCGGTAGATCACACCCACAATAATGTTTTTACCTTTGTCATTTTTTATCTCAATAAAAAGAGAGTCTGTATGATTATCATTTACAGCAAGATCGCAGACATCGGCATGTATGTTCGAACGTACATAGAGGCACACCCCGCCACCAGGGGCCTGTACCATGAAGCCGGTTTAGGTGGCTAGCCAGCTATGTTTCAGCTTAGTTTCCCCCAACCCTGGGTTTTAGGTACTATGAAAGTAGCTCGGCTTTAATCGGTGTTCGTTGCCATGGTACCTTACGCTGCACGGCTAACCTGCTCCGGGGCAGGTTAAGTTCTGGATTCGAGATCTCAGACTGAAGTTTGACCAATCAGCTGTGAGCAAAGAACATAGGTGACGTAACTAATTCCCAGTGTTTGTTGCAATGGCTTTACATTTTCTTTCAAATCCTGTGGACATCTCAGCGCAAATTGTTAGACGAGCACATCGTAGAGAAAGAGTTTTTAGCCGGACAAAATCCCCTTGCCTTTCCTGATAGTGTATGAAAGATACAGATTTTCTGCGGAAGGAATATCTTATCTTTGCGAACTTCTTGAGCCGCACATAAATAATTTAACACATCGAATTAATGCACTTACTGTACCACAAATGGTATTGTGTTGCGTTTTTTTGCAAGTGGTAGCCTACATACTTGCACGATCGGTGATGCACAGAATCTAGGGGAAAACATGGTTTGTCGAACCATTCGCAAGGTGGTCCTCGCTCTGCAGGAGTACATTAATAGTTTAATAGTGTTCCCCAGACATTTATTGACCATGTCCATAAGAGAGGGTTTTTTATAAAATTGCCGGTAAAATATATTGATAGGGTGACATCACCTTTTTTTTTTTTTTCAAAAAGCAAATTTCACAAATGTACTATATAATACAGTACATGTTAAGCATTATTTAAATCTTATGATAGGATTCCCTATAGAGTCATTGGAGCAATAGCCTGCACACATGTTGCAATCTCCACTTCTCTAGGAGAACA